TCCTTGTTATTCTTTCTTGCAGTCATTTGCGAAATGTTGAAAAAAAAAGAAGTTTTTTTATTGTTTTGTTTTTGGATGTTGGATGTATAAAATGTCACACACACACACACACACACACACACACACTGTTTTCTTACCTGCTGCCACATTAATCTGGTCGTAATGCGCGCCCAAGTCGTTGTTGGGGAAGATCGCCACAGAGGTCGGCAAACTGGTAGCAATGTCATCCATGGAGTAGACGCTCTCGGCATGCGCGAACCCTCCGAGATTCACCGGCACTTTCTCCAGAGTTTTAGCCGTCATTGTAGAAGGATCGAAGTTAGCGCGTCTCCTTGCCCTCTGTCCTGTTCTTTCTGTTCTTTACCTCAAAGCTTATCACAAATAGGGGATATGTAACCCAGCCACGCAGGGGGTCACCACTGCATGTCTCTGTCAGTCAGCGTGTGTTAAAGGATGAGCTCCGTGTTCTTCATATGCTCTGATGATCGAGTTAAAAGGGTGTAAAGTAACGGGAACGGGGGCCCTGACACTAGTATGTATATATGGGGAACCTTTTCAAAACGTCATTAACCAAATATGGAAGTGGGAGGGGTAGTCGAAGAAGAACGAAGAAGCTGATTGGCCGGAAGGCTCCATGACGCTTTCAAAGGGAATCTCTTGTCAATGGAGAGCCCGTTGCTCCAGGATAGATAAGAGCGACTTTTTCCACCTGCTGCAAAATTGCAACAACCTGCGCAGAACCTGACAGCAAGAGCACACAATAAAAAGCGCATGCAGCCCTCACTGATGCACCTGTCTTATCATCGTTTACACGTTTATTCTCGCGCATATGCTGTTTAATAGCGCTCTGCGATCAAAAGAGGAGGAATTCCGGTCTCAGGCGTAACCCATATAAGGTTGAATCCGGCACGAACGGGCCCACCCTCCATGTTCCATATTTGGGTTAGATTCCGGAAAACGATCATCGGAAAGTGACGAGTTTTACCGAGCTGAGCATTATGAGAGTGAAAGAGGGAGAAAGACACTGAGGCATAACCACAAACAAATGAGACGGACAGAGGGGTGGAATTTACTTCTTTGGTAGACGGGCTGCATGGGCACGGAAATTTCTGACGCTCTCATTTGACTATGCTCTAGGAAAGACTCGATTTAGTTCACCGAGGAGTTAACTATAGTAATTGAGGGATATTTATAGAAAAGGAAAAGGAAGCCAATATTTATAGAGGCAGCGGTTATAGGTTTTGTGAAATAACCACACACACGGACCACGAGTTTACAGTGGTACACATACATACTCTTGCATTTTTATCAGCATAGCGCCATTTTTCAATGAAAATAGCAATTGGGCCAAAATTTAGTTTAAACAACTGGGACGACACAGAGTGTGTTTATTAGTACTCGTGAAAACTGCATGCCCTCCTGTGGCCTCTTTAGGAAGTGTGCCTTCTCTGGCTCTTCCTCTCTCTCGCACACACGCACACAGAATTCACAGACCTGTTCTGATCTTGTAAAGTCCCTTCGTGGGTGGAGAAAGTTGACAGACAGAACACAGAAAATATCGGGCACCTTTAGTGGAATAAACTTTCCACTGTGTGTGTTGCATTGTACAGATACATTGCACAGTCACTACTGTCTTGCTGTGATCCAAATATAGGCCTGGCAGTGACCTCAGGCTGTGAGACGCTTGAAAATATTCTGTAATCATCTCAAAGAAACCTCGAACTGACCCTGCTGGAAACCAACAAAGAGGCTGATGATGAGCTTACCAGATCATTGATCCATATCTCACTGCTAATATTGGATAAAGAGTGATGTACACTCACAATAATAATGCTTAACACCACTATGAAATCATTCCAACAGGTAGTCAAAACAACAAATCTCATGTATGTTAGGAGAGGGAATTTAACCAGGGAGTTGGTACAGAGAAGCTAATGAGGGAGAAAATAAATAAATAAGAATAAAAGTGCCAGAGTTAGAGGCCTCTATGCTTTATTCACACACAAACACACACAGAAACAGGAGCTGGCCCACTGGTGCAGTAGGGCTATGTTTTAAAAGTATAAACTGATGGAGTCAGTGATAATTAATGATCTCACCCGACTTACTTGACCTACTAATGCTGTTTCACTCAGTGCCCCCGTCATCATCACTGTTGCTGCTACTAAAGTTTTCATATTTTTCAACTGCTGCTGGCACCACTTACACTGGGAGTTATAAATGAATGTACTGTCCAGCCTGCTGCTAGGCTTTGTCATGCTGGCTTTTGCCTGTTGTCTAATATGACTTCAGATATAGGCCATCGAAAATCCTTAATAAGCGTTTCAGTTCTCCATATATGGTTATTCAAAGTCAGCACTGTATGTGTCCCAGCCACTGTCTCTGTCAGGTTTTCAATTCCAACCATATTATCGTTCTCACAGCTGCACACTCATCGTCTCTCTCCACCCCACTCACACACTTTAAACAGCCATATATTTGCATGCACACACCCAACTCCCACACAGAGAAAATATGTGGGCTACAAAAGCAAACTGTATCCAGTGTGGGCTTTGTATTGATGACTGTGACAGTTAAACAGACAAGGAAATTATTGTATATTCTTGCATATTAAACTTGTGACAGTGATATAACCTGAGTGGTAAAGTCTATAAGTTATCTAATAGGAAGATAATGACAGTATGATATAATCAGAAAGGTATACGGTCCACAAGCTCAAATCTCATAAATAAAAGCAGTTGTCAAAGTCACCGAGAGACCACATATGTTTTGTACAGTAGGCCACACAGGTCATAATGTCATGTCCAAATGAATATATCCTCCAGTCTAATCAAGCAGCAGACACTGACAACCACAGGCACATATTCATATACAGAGAGTATTCGAGGGACAGTACAGGGATTTTCCCTGCTGGGTAGGTGGTAGGTTACAATAACTGTTATATGGTGATGTCAAAAGTGAGCGGTGACATACTGTGCTAACTCGAGATGTTTACCATATCACACTCCCATGAGTTTTCAAGATGCTGTTAGAAGGAGATGGTTTTGGTATTTCCAACAGATCGTTAAAAGTGTTTTCCAAATCAGGAATTGATTTTTTGTTTTTCTCTGAACTACAATGTCAATCGATGTTAGCATTAAGCAGATTTGACTGAAATTTGTGGCAGTAGCAACTTTTCATGTATTTTAATGTAGTGACCAGATGAGACATTTTATGATGGACAGCACAGCATTTGATCTCTCGTCTCACATTCTGAATTCTGACTGGGCCAAGTATTGGAAAGTCAGCACTGCCAGACTGCCAGGGTTTTATTAACATTATTTCATTTATTTCAGATACACACACACACACACACACACACACACACACACACACACACACACACACACACACACACACACACACACACACACAAGTATCACATCAACTTTGTGTTCAGATAAAATCACATAGAGCTGAAAAAGAAGACGTTGATCTGACACGAGCGTCTCATGTGAAAGCAAAGCCAACAGCTTCCTGAAGATTTAGCACATGTGCTCGGCCTGTCGGCACCTGTCAGCTGCCTCCAGAGTCCCACATGCTAACCAAGCCTGATAGGACTGCGTCTTCACCTCTGGTCTCCACCATTTGGTTCGGGGGTCACCACCACGGCAGGCACCACCTTGCGGTCGCAGCTCAGTACAGTGACTTCAGTAATGGAGATGCTGAACGTGGTCCAGTCAGACTCAATGTCCCCAGTCTCCCTCTGAATGCTGTTGAAGCTCTGCCCGAGGTGGGAGTTGAAGATCTCATGGACCGGGGTCTCTGCCAGGCGTTCCCAGCACACCCTCACAACACGTTTAGGTGCACCAGGTCTGTCCATCATCCTCCCCCGCTGCCTGATGGTGACCAGTTGACAGCTCAGGCCCTCTCTTTACCCGCGTGTCCAGAACATATGGCCTCAGGTCCGGTGATACGGCCTGTGGCACAGGGCTCATGATGCTCGTGGTTGGGAAAGATTCCATTCTGATGCATTATTCTTTGTTTAACAACACTGCAAGAGTCTGGAAAGTGAGGAGACCAACTGTAGTTGGACTCTATATTGCTTTGTTTCCATTGTTTACTGAATAATAAAACAAGGGAGGCCTTCCTTTCTTCTTACTGAAAAAGACGGAGCTTTAGAAGCAGCAGATCTGAAACCTGTACAGATTACAACAGTATTAATGGAACCCACAGATTCCAGAAAGATTTGTTTTTAGATTTTAAATGGTCAGGCCAAAGGTTAGTTGCTTACCTCGCTTCAATTCCCCTTAAAGGAGCCCAGAGAAAGTGGAAGTGTTGCTTGATCCTTTTGTATAAAGGTTTTTTCTTTGTGTGTTGCAGTAAACTGACTGTGAGTGTTGCTGAGCCCATACAGTGATTTTAATTCCAGAATGATGTCTGTTTTCAGCGCAGTACTATCTGAAAGTCCGGTGATCACACTACCAGCCTCTGTTCAAGAAAATATTTATATCTTAAATATTGTTTGATTGATAAGCCCTTTGCCTTATTGTAGGGTCATGAACTCCCCATCTTTACTTCAGCCTCTTGCTAAGAAATATAATTAGTAGTAAGATATCCTGTCTGTATTACACAAGGTTTCTTTTAGTCTTTTGTTGGTCCTGTTTTTAATGTTGAAACTTTAAATTAATACATTTTAAAAAATGTCTCATGTTCAATATGTCATCTTCCTATTTTAAATGTAATGTTCTTTTATTCATTTCTTATTTTATTAACTGTATCGTTTATAAAATAATCGCAACATTTTGATTGTGTTTGTGAGACTAAGTAGCACAGCACAGGAAACTGTACCATGAGTGGAAGATTTATGCAATGTTTGCATCTTTAAAATGTTCTTTGTCTCTTTTCAGACTAGTCTGGGTAAAGCAGCAACATAGCTCACACACTGAAGTCCAATCTTACAATGAGCAGCATGTTTTTACCTGTCCTGCCCAAAGTCACTTCTACAGCCTTTCTAACCATTACACCATTGCCCACCAGGACACACACTCATCCATTTTTTCTGAGGTGGAAGTTCATTGCCCTCCTTTTTTCCCTGAGAGTCACCACTCTTAAATCCATAATTCTTCTTGTAAAGCTTTTAAAACTCCATGACTGTTCGCCTTTTGCACTCTCGACTGACAGCTTTCATCGCCTGCAGTGTGAAACATGAAAGCAAGTGGAAATGCTCTGATATCAGTCCAAAGCAGAAAAGAAGGAAAAGAGAGAACCCATACCAGTGGATAAAAGAAGAAAGCTCCAGTCTGCTGTTACACAGAGACATGCCTTGTCTCAAACAGCCTAGAACAGGAGCTTGGCTGGGATGAATTTGTCTGGGCTGGAATCGTACTGTCCTGATACTTCCTAATATTATTCAACACACCTAGGCCCATGTCTACTGAATGCTGCCACAATAACAAAAACTGATGGAAGAGAAAAACTGCTCAGATAATAGTCACCAATAAACTAACATAGAAACAGCAGCCAGTTCATTTTCTCTGCTGACAACTCACATCATTGAGAAGCATCTGATATCCCAGGCACAGTAGCTCTG